TCATTACTTTCGCAATTCAAACTACCTTAGATTTAGGGCATTATTCGCAACGGACAACGCCATGGCCCAATAGCTGAGGTGTATTTAAAGAGAACGCGCCTCGTCCACAAATAGCAGCCAATCAGATTGCAGTGAGGGCGGGACGGTGTGATTTCCGTGGCTGGGTTAGGTTGTCTCGGCTTCTCCATTCAGAGACTGTAAGAAGTCTGGAAATGGCTCCCTACTCCCTACGAAGTGCACTATGTAGGCCAACAATGGGTTCCACACCCGGACAGTGCACTTAATGCTACATATGGAGTCGGGCACCCTGTGGCTGTGACCCAAATTAGTTTTTATTAACGTTAGTCATAAAATGTGTGTAAAAGCCGTCATTCCATGATCTACACTCTTAGAAGATGTGGTTCTTCAAGGGTTCTTTAGGAAAGGGAATGATTCTTAGAACCATGAACACTCAAAGAAGCAGGTGAATGCTTCAGTGGTTCTTTGCACAGTGAAGCCATTGTTTGGATTGATGTAGAATGTGTTGTACATGGTTCTATATAGAACCTTTGTGAAAATGGTTCTTTATAGCACCAAAAATGGTTCTTCCATTGTTACAAGCCTGGCATCATAAAAATAGCAGAATCCATCCTCATAAGTGCAATATAGAACCATTTTGCAGACTAGAGAAAATGAGATATTTAGGCCCAACAGTCATTTACTGAGTCACGGTGTTAAAATCTCTGCACATTAGCTACGCTAACTAGAGAGAATGAACCATTTAACAGTCATTTACTGAGAAATGGGACTTTTGAAACAAGCGAGAGAGAGAAAAAGAGAAATATTATTCCTGCTATGCTTCCTGTACAACAACTGGGTAAAAGCTTGAGTTTCTTGCTTTGATTTTTCAGAGGAAAAAGGAGATGAGTTGCTGACAGTTTGATTATGGGACTATTGAAAAGTTATTAATAAAGCAATTTCTTCTTATCTGGTTTATAAACCTGAATAAAAAAAACTAAGATGAGTGACTGAGCAAGTATTGATGTTGTTTTGGTTGAACTCTCAATATTAATTCAAGGAGCAAAAGTGATCAGAAATCAAAGCGAGTTTAGATCGGTGATTCAGTGAAGTTAACTTTGACGCTTCGATGTTGATTTAATGTTGATTTACTGACTGTTTGACTAAATTATTCATTCAAATCACAAACTTAACCCTTAGAAACCTAAAATTTGGGGGATTTTTTTGGTATATTTTGGGTCAGTTACAATTGCAATTATAAAGTATAAGACAGTCACACATACCATATGTTGTTATTTTCAGGAGACCCTGGGCTACTCAGATATGCCATTGTTTGACATGTAAATGCAAACAGAAATTTAATATCTTTATGAATTTGGGTCATTTCTGATCAAAAATGTATGTAGCGCCTGCTAAATTTTGTATTTTTTAATTAAAGAGATCTTGAAAACAAGTAGCATTGTAGTTATCTTTTCAGAAATTGTTAGTCTGGAGTGTCTGTGAGCTGAAAGTGCAATGATTTTGATGGTGATTCACTCTGTTGGTTATTATGAGTAAAAATAATCAATTAGCATAAGGCAGACATGTTTTCTATTGATTTTCTGTCCTCTGTGATTCATGCTCAGTGCTAAAACTCAGCAAGACAGGCTTTATCCTTAATTACAAATTGAGTTGCTTATTTAATATCAGACATTTTTAATACTCAAAATCAATGTAAACTGAAAGCCCTTTGTTTATGATATTAAGGCTAAAAGCAGAGATGTAATATAACAGTAGTGAGTGGGGTTTTAACCCTTTGTTGTAATATGAAGACCAAACAGCAGAGTAATAATATCAGGATTTTAGGTGATTTAACCAGACAAATTACTCACTGATGCTGAAGTCACAGCTCAGCTGCGTTAGAAGCGGGTTTGCTGAATGTCCTGATATGTGGATCATGTTTGTGTCTTAAACCGTTCTGAAGTTATGAAGGCTAGAATTCGAGTCTTTTTGAATCCCAGATTTCAAACGCGTCCCAAATGAACGTTCTCTGCGTCGCCACGTGTTGAATTCTGTGGTAAACGTAGTAGAATAATGGTGACTAAACAGATCTGGGGGCAATTGTTTCACCTTATATGTGTGTATCGAATGTGCATATTAGAATACGACACTTGATGACCATCAGTAGTTCAAACGAGTCAATGAAAAAAGTAAAAATTACAAGAAGTATTATTACAAATACTGTATATCATGAATATGCATGCTGCTTCAGCAAATCTTTGCTAGGTATACATAGGAATATCAGAAAAAACAGAATGAGTGAATATATTAAATATGAATATGTACACACACAAATACATATATATATATATATATATATATATATACATATATATATATATATATATATATATATATGTGTGTATATATATATATATATATATATATATATATATATATATATATATATATATATATGGCTGGATATGTTCATAACTTTTGCCACTGGCTCTTTTCTGTTTAGGCTCTGGATGTGGTTCAACACATTCTTCCTCCCATCCGAGGAGGCAGGTGTGTTCTGCCTCCAATCAAAGGCAGAGTTCCAGCGACAGCTTGGGCCCTGAAAGGTAGGAACTGCAAAAACTTGAAAGCTCCCAGTGTCTCATGATTATTATTAGGAATAGCTTATCAGCATATTTCAGTTTTAAAAGGGAAAATTTAGCAGCTGAATTACTTTTTAGACAGCATTTAGGTTTCGAGGATAACAGTGTGCTCACTGATCTAACTGCGCTTCTCCTCTGTCTCCAAATAATAAAATTAAAGAAACAGATGACTGGTCTGAGAAAGTTGGCCGGAACACACATCATAAACCACCTACATCACATCCTGTGCGGGAGGAAAAGTGAGTGTCGTTCAGGTTCTCAGTGTATGTTTAACTTTTCCTCTTTCACAGGAGCCCAGACCAGACGATTGACCTTCCCAGCGCGTCCCTTGATGTGCTGTTCAGTGCTCGCCTTTTGGGAAACGAAACTCCAGAGCCAAATGTAATTAAGGAGTTTCCAGTCACGGCTGAGCAAGAATGTGAGGAGGGTCAGTCCGAAATCAAGGAGGTGTCCTCAGAGGCTGGAGAGGAAACTGTGTGTGGGGATTCTAAAGGATTGAAGATTCTTACTGTGCCTCCCATCGTCTTCAAGAGGACGGCTGAGGAGCTCGTCAGATGACTGGAGTCAGTTCATGGCGGAGTCCCTCTGACTTTTCTCCACAAGAGTCTGGTTGATAGTTTGATTGAAGAGACAGAGTTAGTGGACCAGATAAAAGTTACTGACCAGGTGCTCGATGGACGGCTCTTCTCTGATGAGAATGGGGCCATTTGTCACATTGTCGGTGAAGTGTGTGGAGCCCTTTTGAATAGGCGCTTCATGAAGAAGCAATCTTGTGTGGACCAGTTGATGATTGGATACATCACCAACACTGTCCTGATGTCTTTTGTGGACTACGCCCTGGCATGTTTGAACGAATCAGGTTCTTCCCCCGACACGGACGCTGTTGAGGAAAGATTGCAGGGCTCGCCTGAGGTTGAAGAGGACTCTCACTTCACCATCCTGCAGCACCATCCTTGGAGAACAGAGACCATCAGAAATCGAGGATTTGATCCTAGAATGTGGTGGATCTCCTGACCTGAGTGACGATAAATGCTCGGATAAGTGCTCTGAATCTCCTCTGGAAGATTCACCTGATTTGTGGAACTCCATCCCTGCTGTTCAGGTAAACAGAGGGAATCGGTTCTCCGTTTTCTCTCAGTGTGATTCTCAGTCTCTTATGCTGTATTACTGACTCAATATGAACTGTGATTTTCAGGTGACTGAGGCCTCTGAGGACTTGATGGAGAAAACCGAAGACTTGGAGATTCCTGGCTGCCCTAATGGTGAGTCACTCAGCTCCTCTTGAGATTTCATAATAGCCTGTGTTTAATGTTGTCTAAATGCTCCCAGAGCTTCGAACTGATATCCTCCTCTTTCTCTCTGGGTCTACAGGGACTGAGGATGCCACCACAACAGGAACCAAGAAGAAGAGGCGGCTCCGTTCTCGCATCTCCAGATTCTTAAGGAGACTGTTCTGCTGCGGATGCATCTCATCTCGGCACGTGGAGCCACTCTGAGCTCAGAGCCACAGTCTTCGTCCCACCGTTTTCCATCAATAAAAAGCATAAAAAAGTCATTGTGACTCCTTGTTGTGTTTGTAATGCTCAATTTGTTATAGAGGTGCATATTATGGCCATTTTTCCATTCGATCACCTTCATGTAATATTTGTACACAGTACAAAAGAGCGCTGGACATGAAATAACAGTTGTTAGTGTGATAATGTTTCTGTGTTTCTTTTATATACAGGAGGCCTAGAAGTCTGATGATGTGAGAAAAATCAGAAAACATTTTTCAAGGCGAGTCATGTATTGTTACATTTCGATAGAAGTATATTTAATCAGCAACATGAACTAATGAGGTAAAAAAGGTCAATTTTAATTTCAAGTTGACTTTAAATCGCTCCCCGACATTAAGTACTGAAGGCTGTGTTGCATGTGTTTAGTTTTGCCACTAGATGGCGTAACATCAATATTTTCCTTCATCGAGTATCTTTAATATTTCTTTTGGTCCAAAAACAAAATTGAAGGAATGTGGGGACAGTGATGTCACTTATAATAACAATAATAATTATTACTATAATAGTTTACAGGAAGGTCAAAGATGGAAAATGTCTGAAATGTGGCTAACAATGAATGGAAGGTAGTAACTACCATCTCTGTAGTGCTAACTGGAGGATATATAGTCCTTCACAAAATTTTTTACAAGTATATTTGCAGATATTCCTTACAATACAAAAGTTAATACAATCATTCAAAGGTGCATTAGTGTTCATTTTAGTGTCAAAACACCTGCAAATGCATGCAATACATTTTGCATACAAGTGAATTGGAGATAAGAATTGATTGTCTTAAAAAAAGAAAAAAAAAACATAGCAAAGTATGTTCAGTGTCATATAGGAAGCTTTATGGTACAGTGAAGGCTGTGTGTACAGAATATAATACAGAACATTAATCACTGTAGAAGCTCACAGGCCATAGTCCAGTATGTAAACTTCCATAAGCCTGGGTCACATTTCTTTCTCCCTTGTCTGTCATGAGTTTTAACCCACATAACACAATAATCTGTGCATTTTTTTGCCAAAAATGTAAAAAAGAAGTTTAATGCTATATTAAGATTATGTGTAACACAATATTTAAAGGCATGGTTCAATTAAATCTACAAGCATTATGATTTCAATACAGTATTGAAAAAATATTACAACTACATTTTTAAAGACCCTAAATCCTTAATTTGTCTTATGCGTGTGATGTTTGTGTGGTTATATGTAACACAGTTGGTCATATTTCATTTTTACATGACCATTTTTTCAGCCTTTATTTAGATCTTGATTCAAATTGGGCTGTTTTTGGAGCTTAGTTTCCATATCTAGACTATACAAACTGGAGAATGATGGTACATTTTGAAACATTAGCAGTGTTTATACCACATCAAACTCCTATTTGAAATAAGTGTGGAAATTTCAGTTTTCCCATAATATGCTATGCATGCTCTCACGCTCAAATGACTCAGATGAGTTTTTAAAATCAATTATAAAGTCATGAGATTATAATAACCTTCATATTACCTCAATGGTAAAATATGTTTAAAATATATATTCATAATGGTGAAGCACATACAGGGTATTGTAAGGCAAAAAAGTGTTTTTTCTCAGATTTACTGCTATTTTATCATTATCAGCATCACATATAAAAACTCAGAAGACACGTGTAGATGCGTTGGTTGTTTTGGATAGTAAATAAAATGGCTATGTTTGTGGTGTAGACCCCTGGTTCCTATCACCATCACTGTAAAGAAATCTGAGTCTGTAAATTTCTCCACAATTAACCATTTCACATCAAACAACTCGGGATGAATTTGTGTCCATCTTAACAATTGAATTCTACTGTTCTAATTCTACTGAATACAAATTTTGAACCATTAACTGCAAGTGTGAAGTTTAGGAGCAAAACGTACCTAAAAATCGTAATGATCTGATACAATTTCCTTTTCCAAAAAAGGTGGACAGAGCTGTGGAGCAACACAGCAGTAATTTATGAACATAATTTACGGTCATGGCCAAAAGTGTTGGCATCCCTGAAATCTTTCCTAGAAAATGAAGTATTTCTCCCAGAAAATTATTCCAGTTACACATGTTTTGTTATACACATGTTTATTTCCTTTGTGTGTATTGGAACAACACAAAAAACAGACAAAAAATGCCAAAAATGATATAATTTCATGCAAAACTCCAAAAATGGGCCAGACAAAGTTTTTGGCACTCTCAACTTAATATTTGGTTGCACACCCTTTGGAAAAAACAACTGAAATCAATCGCTTCCTATAACCATCAACAAGCTTCTTACACCTCCAACTGCAATTTTGGACCACTATTCTTTTGCCATCTGCTCCAGGTCTCTCATATTTGAAGGGTGCCTTCTCCCAACAGCAATTTTAAGATCTCTCCACAGGTGTTCAATGGGATTTAGATTCGGACTCATTGCTGGCCACTTCAGAACTCGCCAGCGTTGTAAACTTCTTGAATATGTTGCGCACCGTGGACAAAGGAACATCAAGATCTCTGGAGATGGACTTGTAACCTTGAGGTTTTTGATATTTTTCCACAATTTTGGTTCTCAAGTCCTCAGACAGTTCTCTTCTCCTCATTCTGTCCTCCATGCTTAGTGTGGCACACACAGACACACAATGCAAAGATTGAGTCAACTTCTCTCCTCTTTATCTGGTTTCAGGTGTGATTTTTACATTGCCCACACCTGTTACTTGCCACAGGTGAGTTTGAAGGAGCATCACATGCTTGAAACAAAGTTATTTACCCACAATTTTGAAAAGGTGCCAATAATTTTGTGCAGCCCATTTTTGGAGTTTTGTGTGAAATTATATCATTTATGGCTTTTTTTTTTCTCTGTTTTTTTGTGTTGTTCCAATACACACAAAGGAAACAAACATGTGTATAACAAAACATGTAATTGGAATAATTTTCTGGGAGAAATACTTCATTTTCTGGAAAAATTCAGGGGTGCCAACACTTTCGGCCACGACTGTACATTATGTTTGCACTCTTAAAAATAAAATTGCCTCACAAAGCTGGCCTACTGGCAACAAAACACAGATCAACAGTGTTCAAGTTTTTAAAATTGTTGTTTTCTCACCATACCGCAATTTGAGGCAAAATTATTGTGGAAATTTCAACTCGATGCTTTTTTTGTCATTACTGCTGAGGACAAGAGCGCTCCTATTAAAACCTCTGCTCTTTTTTGTTCCCTCTTGGCCTGCAATTGATCACTTGTGGAATGGAATGGACATCATCGTAGTGCAAGTACAACAAAATTCATCATCTCGAATATGTGGCATAAAACTAAACAGATAAGCTTAATACCAAAATACAAAGTCCAAATGTACAATGTGAGCTTCTTCATCGACACGGTTAACCGAGTGGCCTGCTAACTGTGTGACGGGGAAACCGATGAGGACATGCAAGGCGGTACAGATACTGAGGAACCATGTCGATTTATGGAGTGACACCAGACAGCAGGGCTGCCTCATTGAGAAGTTTCCCAGCCTCTTCCCTGTAGCGAGGGCTCAGCTCTTTAGCCCTGCGAGCTTCCCGCAGGTTCTCCTGGAGGTTTCCTCCCAGCCGCTTTTGGTCCTGGTGTGTTGCAGCTGCCTCCTTCACCTGCTCGGTCAGTGATTCCTCTGCCTTCAGGAGCCAGTTGATCATCTCCTGAAGCTTGGTGCCAACTGCCACGACAGCTTTGGCAGCTTTGCACAGCTCACTGACGTTCTCCTGCGTCCGCTTCAGCTTATCAGGCACTTCGTCCTCCGGCGTCACAACCAAGGTAAAGTCGTAGCCCTTCATCTGCAGTCTGACCTGATGCGTGTCTATCATGATAAAGAGACCACAACGAGCTTAGTTTGTACCAGTTTATGAACAGAGTATAACTATGAAGCATTACTAGGGCTGGGCATCATTCAAATGTTTCAGATATAAATACCAAAACTGACGAAGATAGAACATAATGATACTTTTTGATAATTTAAGAAGTGCAGGCATTAATAACACATTTACAGAATGTCATTTAGACAGCCAATCACCAGTCTAGATTTTGGATCCCAATACTAAATGACATTTTTACTCAAAGGAATTTGTAGAAAGAATAATTCTGTCAGAACCATAGAATTATTTAATCCTAATACCCAGCCTTAATCACTCCACCCCTGTAACGATTATTCTGGACCTGACAAAAAAAACCCAAACTTTATTAAGAAAAAACGCTGTCCCACGTATCCATGTCACTACTGCAACACAAAGGCTTTTAGTCCAGATGCGGAGACTTCTTTTAGCCACGCCCGTGCATTTTAGAGCACAAAGTGAAACTGCATCCCTGTCCCATTTGCTAATGTTTGTGACAGCTAATCACAAATGCTGCACCATTTAAGGTGGGACAGTAAAATTCGGACAAGAAGCTGGCGACAAAGGAGCTGAATTCAGCCTTGCAGTTTTAACACTGGTAGTATTATTTTATATTATTGTTTGATGAGTTTTAGGCTGTCAAAATATCCTACCTAGAGGTTTTATTTATGGGTATACCTGTAAATATGCGCTACAGTAGAACATTTCGATAAGGTAGCACAGCTCGGCAGAGCACCACCACAGCCCGCCTTAGTTTCGTGTAGCTTAGTGACATCAAATTGACGCACAGTAGCTTTAGCTCGCATGTAGCAATATTAGTATTAAGGTTTTTTAACGACCTTGTTATTCAGAGGATCCAGCGATATTCTGGAGAAAAAATGTACACAGAACAAAACGTGTCGGGTCCTGAACATTTTATCTACCACTGGGTGCAATAGAGGCGATTTTTTTTAAACCCCCATTCATTCTGGCCATAGAGAAATTAGGCTTAAAACCGGAGCTCCTAATATGGGCATAATGTGGACTACAGAATGACACACGACTACAGTGTCTATTGTTTTGAAGTAGATGTGCCCAAAAATGTGGAACATTAAGAACTGTCACTACCGAGACACATATTTTCTGCAAATAAGTTTTTGTGCTTTAATGAAAAATATTCAGATTTTATGTGTGTACAACAGTTCAAACCAGTGGTCTAAAGTCAAAGTCAGTTAAAAGTCTGAAATACGTTCTTCAACTCTGACTTTGAGCCATTTCTGTAAAATGATCCACACAGAGATATCTAATATACTCGATAGGATGTAAATAGGATGTGAACTGATTGTACAGCAGCACTCTCACTCTGGTTTAGACCTTGGTTTCCAGTTTGCGAGCTGCTACTGCCATCTGGAGACTGTGGATCATCTTTAAGAAGCTGTCTAAGAGGCTGTGACTCACCGTGCTCGTCCTTGATCTTCTTCAGGCAGTCAGACAGGCTGTCACCGGCAGAACAGCGATAGCGGTACATGAGGGTTTTTCTCTTCTCCTCCATACACACATAGTGTTCCTGCTGCTTGTTGAACGTTTCTGCAACGTCGGCAAAGCGCTGGTCAAGATCTGGAATGCCGACGTGCCGGGCAACAACGTTGCCGCTTCTCTGCGCCGAACCTGAGTAAGAACAGAGTCCTGATCACACTATTATTCAAAAGCTTGGGATTAATGTTTTCCATAATATAAAACACATTATTCTAATATGATGCTAGCACTTTAAAATTTCACAGTTTTAAGGGCCCAAGCTGAATGCATTATATTTCAAAAGCCTTGAGGCAGATAACTTGACAAAGAATTACTATAAATATACCACTACTAGTACTAATATTATTATTATTATTATTGTTATTATCAAATATCAATCGAGAACATAAAGTTAAAAACTAATAAGACAGATAATTGTAGTGTAATATATTAAATACATTTCTAATTTCTCCAAAAAACATTGGGACACACTTTCAATGCTGAATATTATCTAGTTTATAATATTTCACACTGCAAAAGTTATTATTGAATAAAATAACAATAATTGGTTAAAAACTATGAGTGAGTGTAAAGTAGCCCATGTAGTTTTACAGTAATAAACAGTGGTTAATACATATTTGTATGTATTACTACTAAACTACACAACTCAAAAACCATAGACAGTAAGTTATCCTGCAGTGAAACCAAGACAATCTCAAAGTATCCAGGAAACACATAATATACAAAATTCAGTAACACTATGCTGATGGGCAGCGTTCATAAGGTACCCAGGCAGGTTTGACAGCTAACACTTTTTGGAATCTTTTCAAATGTTAATGTAGGTTTATATAATAAAAGGTGTCATTTAGCCTTATGAATGTCACCCTTCAGTAAAGTGTTACCCAATACCCATCTTTTAAAAACCACACTGACCATTAGAAGGTGGACGAGACTGTCTTGCTGACTCTGGTTCCCCAATCAAAGGTTGTCTCTGGAAAAAGAGAGACAATTTAAACCACATTCGTCCAGAAAGTAGCACCTGAGTTAGCTAAGATGCTACATTTAGCCTAGATTTAGTGCTCGGGTTTCTATGCATGTGACAAATGTTAGTTTGCTGTTATATAGTGCAGTCTGTAAGTAACTGGACAGGGGCAGTCGTTTCTTGGAGAGCTGGTGCATCAGTAGCCCATGCAAGAGAGCGACCAAGTAGTCTAGAGTTCTAAATGTGGCATCAACATCTGCAGCTGTTGTGTCTCAATGTTGGGTAAACAATCTGACAGACCACAAAAGACCACAGTAGTGGATTTCAGGCAGATTAAGTAGATCAGGAACATAAACCAGGATACAGCCACAGATATATCAGAGAGATATATCTGCCATGAAGAGTACCAGCATGATCTCAGAGGGTTTAACCGCAAAATGCAAACTACAGATAAGCTTCAAAGAACAGAAATGACAGGATAAACAGGATAAACTTCTATTATGATAAAAAAAAATACAATAATAAGTTTGTACAGTTATTAGACAAAGTCTTATGGACAGATATGACGAAGATGGACATGTATCGATGAGGAAAATGAAACATGGTGGTCAGGCCTGAGTGACTGCCTGTGGAACTAGTTCACTCATGTTTGCTGACAAATTTGCTGACATGGCTAAATTATATACCTGACAAAGTAACACTGAGAATAACACCTATGGATTGTAGATTTCAGGCTGTCTTCTAATGTAAAGGATTTCCAGCCAATTACACTGTCAGAGAAAAGGTACCCTCCAGGTAAATTTTAGTCCCCAAGATACAAACAACGTAAATGTATCCTCAAAGGTACAAACTACATTCACTTTCTCAGGTTAAAAGTGAATTTTTGTACCTTTTCTTTTAAATACCTTTCAATTTAACTATTTCATGTGAAAAAAAAAATTAAATAAAAAAGCCTGGAATCAAGTTAGGGAGTTGTATTAAAAATACAACTGCAATGAAGTATGTTACAATTATGTTTCCTAACTAGAGGTACTAAAGATGTACCTTGTGGGTACCATCCCTGTGAGCATTTGTACCCTGAAAGGTACCTTTTTCATGACAGTGTACTAGACGTGCATTTTAACCCTTTACAGCATGGTGTTGCCATGTGGCAACAGTGACTTTTAGTTTTCTCCCTGACTGCAATGTAAAGTGATCATTAACAGTTCATTAGAGAAACTGAAGGCTTTATGTGTAAAACAGTATAATTTTTCTGACCACGTGCATCTCAGTTGCAATCACACATCACATAGTGAGACCAAACATCTGAAGTCCTCTCAAAGTTTGTATAATTCAATTTAACTTCAAGAAAAACTGAAATACAATCTGTGGAAAGTTACATTCATATTTTTTTTTTTAGAAATCAAAACAGTTTAGATGCTATTGGAACTGTAATCTACATGGCGAACAATGGGAGTATATGAACACACTGCCTTTGGACATATTAGACACTGTCGCTTTCACAACTTGTATTCCACCACATTGACTGTGTCAGTAATTTTTTTTAAACTTTTCTATATTCTAAAAAAGCATATACATGTTTCTTTTTTCCAAGCCTGGATGATGAATGTGGCTGTGTCTCCCACTGTTCTATCTATCTATCTCTCTCTCTCTCTCTCTCTATATATATATATATCTATATCTCTATATATATATATATATATATATATATATATATATATATATATATATATATATATATATATATATATAATGAAAGTCTATGGAACCAGAATTTTTCCAAGTCATTTTGGGCCATTTCATTTGGTCCATTCATCATGAAATTTCTTATATTATGCATCATTCATTTAGTAATATATTCTATTAATTATGCCATTTTCAATTATAAAAAAAACATTAAACAGATTTTTTTCAGGTGTATTTCATAAGATTAAATTCAACAATGGTTCTCAAGCTTGTCTTCGAAACAACAGCAGATGTTATATAGAACCATTTTCAAAAAGGTTCCTTAATAGAACCATATACAACACATTCTCCATCAATATGAAGAACCATTTCACCATGCAAAGAAACATCTGAGCATGAAAAGGTTTTATATACACTGTTAGAAATAAAGGTTCTGTCCAGGTACATTCTTCGTTCATCAAGGTACAAACAATGTAAACGTTCCCTCAAAGGTAGAGCAGTGATTTTAAGGTCCGATTGTGATCCTTAAATACGTTTTTCCAGGTGAAAAGTACATATTGTACCTTTACATAACCAAATGTTCTAAAACAGAACAATAAAATAAAAAGCCTAAAATATCATTTCAGTGGATTATGGTGCAGTTATGTTCCCTGACTAAAGGTACTGAGATGTACCCTTGAGGGTCCCACCCCAGTGACAAGAGGGGTGCTGCCCCAGAGACAGTTTCATACCTTTATTTCTGAGAGTGTAGAACACATGGTTCTGAACATAACCATTGCTTTTACTAAAGAACCCTTAAAAAACTTTCTTTTTAAAGTTTAGTACTTTTAAAGCAAACTGCTACTCCACTCACTCCTCAGCTCTACTGCGCCACACGTTTTAGTTGGTTTCTATTCTTGATGACCTGTGAACATGTGACGAGTCAGGGTCACTCTGGCTGCAACAGGTGCATTAAAAAACAAACAATCGGGCGTTACTGTGCTGCTAACAGGCTGCCTGTTCGGCGGGAGCAGTTTATTGGTATTGTTGGAGACAGTCCCCTACCCAGCTTCTCTCATGACCTACTTTTCCTCCAAGTTCGCTGATCCGCGTCATAACAGGAAAGCAACGACAATAGCAAAAGCACCGAGCTGACTCAGACTCATTCGAGCTGTTTTACCTCCACGGTGCTGCCTTGAACCCCTAAATCACCTGCCAGGTGCTTCGAGTCACTACGAGCGTGGAAAAGTTCTGCCTTGTTCTACTAGACTTCACCAGCTATGCTCAGGTGAGGGTCCTACCTCTTCAGGAGAGGAACCAGACTGACAGCAGCAGAAGAACCGCCGCCACCAGCTCTCCTCCATGGCGGTGAGTTTTTAGGGAAAGTCGAGCGGGATTGCGAAAGAAAAGAAACCTGCCCGTTCGCGGTGACGTCATGAGTCATGAGGTCCTCACTGCAGCGGAATTCACTGTGTTGAACTCGTCACTGTCCACTGAATCACAGCTCACAGTCCAGATCACGATTCTAATGACGCCTTTGTAGTTTCATTTTTTTAATCTGTTTTCTTTTATGTAGTTTCTATTGACTGATTTCTACGGAGCCCCGCTGGTGACATCCTGTACAAATAAAAATAATGCGTGGCCACGCCTTATTAATGCGTGGGGACGAGATCCTAATGCGTGGCCACGACTTAGCAAAGCGTGGGAACGAGATCACGGCTTACTAAGTCGTGGCCACGCATTAGGATCTCGTTCCCACGCTTTACTAAGTCGTGGCCACGACTTAATCATCTCATTCCCACACCTTACTAAGTCGTGGCCAGGCATTATTTTTATTTATACAGGATGTCACCAGCGGGGCTCCGTAGTACGAAATCGACAATGGCCTGTGAATTGTATGAAGCAGAACAGAGCAGAGGAGACCGTCACTTCTATCAGGCTATTTCCATATCAGAGTTTATGTATATGTATTATACTTAAGGGGCACTCCACCGATTTTTCAAAAGTTTAGATTAATTAAATGGTTAACGTCAAAAAAGTCATTCAGAGTGGTTCGGTGTGAAATGCTCTGTTCTTGAAAACGTACTGAGTCAATACTGCTCAGTGGTGGTGATAGGAACCAGACGTCTGAAGAGTTTAATGCCTAGAGTTTAATGGTTATGAATGCTCCGCCTGATGCCTGTGACGAGGCCTAAAACGTATTTTAATCCATTTATTTTAACCTATTCATGGTGGAGGGATTTCTGAAGGATGTTCTAAGGCAAAATTAACTAAACTATTAAACTATTTTATCCCTATTTACTATATTACATTACATATAAAAACTCATAAGACACGTGTAGATTCACTGGTTGTTTTGGATAGTATGTTAAATGGCTATATTTGTGTTGTAGACACAATCTGAATCAGTAGGTTTCTCTGCAAATGAACCATTTCAGATCAAACCACTCTGAATGACTGTGTTTACATCTTAACCACTGAATTATGCAGACATTTTGAAAAATTGTTGGAATTCTCCTTTAATGAAGGTCCAGCTTACAGCTGTAGAGGGCGCCATTGTATTTATTTTATTGTATTAAAAGGGGAACTCCACCAATTTTTCAAAATGTCAGTGTAATTAAATGGTTAATGTCAAAAAAGTCATTCAGAGTGGTCTGATGTAAAATGCTCTGTTTTTAAAAAACAGTCAGACTGCTTCTCAGTGGTGGTGATAGGAACCAGACGTCTGAAGTGGTTACTGCCACAAGCTCCCTCACAGAAAGTTGGCATGAAAAGTTGGCATGAAATGGATATCAATACTCTGCCTGATGCCTGTGATAAGGACTAAAGCGTATTTTAATCAATTAATTTTTGTCTATTCATGGTGGGGGGATTTATGAAGGGGGTTCTAAGGCAAAATAGTCTCCAAAGAAATCTTTTTTTTTTCAGATTTACTATTTTTTCCCATCATCAACATTACATCTAAAAACTCAGAAGGCACATGTATGTTTACTGGCTATATTTGTGTTGTAGACATGGTGACTCCTGGTTCCTATCAGCACCACTGTGAAGAAATCGGAGCTGGTAAGTTTCTCTACAAATGAACCATTTCACATCAAACCACTCTCAATGACTGTGTTTACATCTCAGCCTCTGAGTTATACAGACATTCTGAATAATCGTTTAAATTCCTTTTTAATGTAAGTCCAGCTTACAGCTGTAGAGGGCTCATATGTGTGTGTATATATATATATATATATATATATATATATATATATATATATATATATATATATACACGTGTGTGTGTGTATATATATACACATTAGGTTTACCACATCTAACTCATTATTTTATTTGAAAAGGAGGCCAAGTTAATTTTTACATGGTATAGGCCCTTTATACTTTCTCAAATTCTACATATGGTGTGACATACATGGCAGAACGCTTGTAATACTTTATTGAAAGTACAAAAATGCCATGCTGATTCCATATTTTTAGGCTATTCAGTTCAGGATTTAAGAGAGAGAGAGTTTTTGTACCAAGCAGTAGAGGATATAACTCCCGGATCACACTTATGGAGCTCTAAATAGTCAAAATATATGATATGAAATATATGGCATAATAAATGTACATAGCACATTACTGAAATGCATCCCCAATGCAAAAAAATCACCAAGACTCATTGCTTTAACACAGTTTTACTTGGCTGTCCAATTTCACACTCATTTGTCCTTAATGAAAGTCACACTTCAAGCAGTAGAGGGCGCTACTGCATCACATTCAGCGCTCAAAATCACCACAGATTCTGAAAACCGTCTGACGTCACATGCACAGTACTTGCAAGTTGCTCATAAAACGTCATTGAAATTTCAAGCTTGATATGTCTGATGTAAAAGAAAACAAACAAAAAATCACACCTGCTGGTGGGTCTGATGTCATATTACTGAGGTGATTTGAGAGTACAAAGCTCTGCCATAATCCACTTTTAAGGACATTTATTGCCAATCATTAGACAACTGGACCTTTGCAATGTTGCTGTTGTTGTGTTTGTTTGCATATCATGCATACGGGTCAAATGAGGCTTTCAAAATGATCATTTAAAAAATCATATTAAAAAGGATATGACGTCATTTTAGTATCTGCAAAAATCTGTTCAGTGTGTTTGTTTTTGTTTCATAGCTTTTATAATTGTACACAAATTTTAAACAAGATAATCAATTTATGTCTAAAGTAAGTGTGTATAAACTAGTGCTGTGAAAAAGTATTTGCGACTTCCTCTATTTTTGCATATATGTCACACTAAATGATGTCCTATAAGACAGGATGAACACGAGAAAACAGGTTTTAAATGATTGTTCCCTTTATTGGAAGTAAAAAAAGTTTCACAACACCTATATCAACCTGTAAAGAATGTTTTTTGCTTAATTTTTCAACTTAATTACCGGTTATGCCACCTTATAACTGGATATCAGTCTTTCACCTTACTGTGAAGGAAATTTGCTCCACTCTTCTTTGCAAAATTGCTTTCGTTCAGCCACACTGGAGGGCTTTTGAGTATGAACTGCTCGTTTAAGATCCTGCCACACCTCAATGGGATTCAAGTCAGGATTTTTACTAGACCGCTCCAAACCATAATTTTCTTCCTTTGAGCCATTCAGAGGTAGACTTGCCCTTGCGCTTCGGGTAGTCGTCTTGCTGCATAACTCAGTTGTGTTTGAGCATCAGTTCGCCGGATTTTCTGCAGGATTTTCTGGTAGAGAGCAGAATTCATGGTTCTGTCAATTATGGCGACTTCACCAGGCCCTGAAGCAGCAAAGCATCCCTGCACCATCGCACTACCACCACCATGTTTAACTGCTGGTATGATACTCTTGCTGTGGAATGCTGTGTTAGCTTTACACCAGATTTAACAGGACCCCAGTTTTCCAAAAAGTTCCACTTTTGACTTGTCAGTGCACAGAACATTATTTCTTAAGGCTTGCCATTTCTTGGAAAGTGTGAGTCGAGCTTTTACGTTTATCTTGGTTTTCATTTTGTAACTCTCCCATTTTTGCCCACTCTCTTTCTGTTAGTGGAATTATGAAGGCTGACCTTGTCTGTGATGAGTGAGGCCTTCAGTTTCTTAGGTGTTCATCTGGGTTCTTTTGTGACTTCCTGGATGAGTCATCTCTGTGATCTTAGCGGAATTTTGGCAGGTCAGCCCCTTCTGGAAAGATTCATCACTGTTCCAAGTTTACTCCATTTAGAGATAATGGCTCTCACTGTGGTTCACTGGAGTCCCAGAGCCTCAGAAATAGCTTTGTAACCTTGTAATCTGGCCTTGTAATTGTGCTGCTTGTTGAGACCTTTTAGCCTCCTTCACTTTGCTGAAGAGGTTCTATTTAAGCGATGATTAGATTCAGTAAGGCTGGCAGTAATCAAGTCTAGTTTATTTTATCCCAATTATCAACTGAATAGGTTGATTAAGTAAATTTGGCAAATTGGTTGTTCAAATGTTTGTCCTTAAGCTCAGGTTTATACATGATAAATGAACAGTATTAACACATTTTCATGTTTTTTTAGGGTCCCACCACTTGACTTGGTAAACTGAACCAGCATAAACAATGACTTAAAACTGACTATTTGTGATAGGGCTACTGACCTTGGTATTGCCTCATGAAGATCATTTGGGGTCATCTTCATGATGCAATCCTCTGCCCACTCTTTCTTTAATAGCATGCCAGAATAAAAGTCCTTTGCTTTTGGTTGTGCCATGTGACATTTGAGGAAACTGGAATTTACAGACGAAAGCTTTGCAGTTAGTTTTAAAGTTGCCTTATTTTGCAGCATATTTTGGTTTTAAATGTTTCAAAAATAAAATCGTCAGATTATTTTATTTTGAATTTTACATGAATATATTACCCTTTTGATAGTTTACTTAATCCTCATATATGCCATGTGTCTGTTAAATTATTTCATAGAAATTTAATGAATAATGAAGACAAATCATGTAACTGACCCATAAATAATAGCTGATTAACCCCAACTTCAAAGGGGTTCGATATTTAAATTCAGTTTTAAATCACATTGCAAGCCTGCAGAGAGTTGGTGTATTGGTATTTGATTATGTGTGAACACTTTTCTGCCCAGGCTTTATATTCGATTGGAACATTGCTGTGAGGATTTGATTGTATTCAGCCACAAGAGCATTAGTGAGGTCAGGTACTGATGTCGCATGATTAGTTCTGGATCACAAATGCCACTCCAACTCATGCTGGGGGGCTTTATCCCCCTCCAGATGACGCTTGTCTTTGTGCATGGTGACCTGAGGCTCATGTGCAGCTGCTCTAGAGCATCCCATTCTACTGACCAATGCTATGGAGGCTACACAAACTGCATGTGTGCAGTTGAATACCTGTGTCAGCAATTGATGCACCCTGTATACTTGGATAC